TGTAGTTCTCACTGAGCTCCCTGAGCATCCTTGTAACCATTATTTTGAACTCCGTGTCTGAGTTTCCTCACCTCAGTTATGTTTAGCAGTCTTTTGGGAGATTCCTCCTTTCCTTTCTACTTGGGGGGGGGGTGTTTCTTTGTCTCTCCATTTTACTCGACTCTTATTGTTTATACATACTAGATTGATTTGCTTTGACTGCCTGTCTTAATGGCTTAACCCTCTGTGGTAGGAGACCTGTGTAGCTCAGTTGTGCAGTCTCCTCGATCTCCTGAGCTGATGTTCTTGCTCTGCCCTTTATTTCGTTTATGTGGACTTGCTGGTTGTAATTAGGTTTTGGTTGTTGTCAGATCATTCTTTGGTGGGTCCTTCACTCCAGCTGTCTGCCTGAGAGTCACTCTGCCCACCACATCTTGTATGCTGTGTGCAGGTGCTGCCAAAACAATGCCAAACAGCCCAGGAAACAAACCACACTCACAAGAATAACTCCTACCCAAAACCACACTATCAACAACAAATGAGCAACATCAATAATGGTGTAAAGAGATTAAGACTATTGTAAGAAAGGAAAAATGAATATAAGATGACTAACTGAAAGAAAAGTGATTTTGTGAGAGCAGAGGGGAGAGCAGTAAGAGTAGGGATTGTAGAAAGACAAAGAGAAAGGAAATAAAATTTGCATCATAAATAGAAAAGTGAGGAGGAAAGCTAGAATGGAGTAAGAGAAGGGATATATATAATTTTAGGTTTAAACCAAAAAAATTTGTTTGTGTGTAGAGAGAGATAAACAACAAATATATATAAAATAAAAGGAACATAATTGGACAAAAAATCCACCACCAGAATATCAACTACAAAGGAACTAAGATTTATATGGGTGGAATGGGAATAAGAGCAGGGGGGAAAGAAAGAAAACCTTCAGAAATGTCTAGAGTAAGGAGAAGTTATTTTGGGAGGATAGAGGGAGAAGGAATACTAAGAGTAAGGAATGAAAACCAGGCTAAGAAAGGAAAAATTAACATTTAAAGCAAAACCAAAAATAAAACCAAGCAGGAGGAAGGCAAAATGGAGTAGGAGATGGGAATGGTAAAATTTGAGATTTGAAATACAAACATAATAACTATTTGGAAATAAGATTGAAGTACTACAACAACAACCACCTACCCACAACCAATAAGCAAAGATCAATGAAGGTGGAGAAAAGGTAAGGAAAGGTATTGTAAGAACAGGAAAAAGAGTATGAGATGACCAATGACAATCACAAATGTTTTTGAGAGTTTGGAGGAGGGAGAAATAGTAAGACTGTGAAATAGAAACAAGTCATAGCAAGAGAGAAAATAGAATTGAAAACAAAAGTAAAAGAAGGAAGGAAGAAGGGAAAACGAAGTAAAAGAAGGGAAGAGCAAAATACAAGATTTGAAATAAAATATAATATAAAACCTGGTGACATATTAGACCCAAACTTGAAGGATAAGAAGTGAATGTGAAAAAGCTATGCAGGAGAGAAGATAGCACCTTGTTACCCGGTCTCTACTCTCTCTGTTCTTCTGAGTTTAGTAGATCGGGACCCAGGGTATTATATAGCTCACGGTATCTGTCAAAGGGCCCTTTCAGAGCCTTTTCTTCTTTCCCCTGTGGAAATGTACCCAGCATGAGAATCCTGAGCCTGAACTTGCTGCTCTGCCAAGCCTGTAATCCCACAGGTGGGTTGGACTCACCTGTCTGTGAGTGGATCTGGCTTGCTGCAGGAAATCTCAGGCATTCAGCTCCTACCCTCCAGTCCTAAGCCTGCTGCTCTCTCACAGGAGGTTTGGCCCGAATTCTTCACTCTTGAACAGTCCTCTGCTTACACGACATGTTATGTTGGGTCCTACCTTTCCTGCAGTGTACTAAGTCCTTCTGAGTTTTTGCTTAGCACATCTACTGCACCCATGTACACAGGCATGTGAGCCCCAGGTCCCTGTTGAGTTTCTGTGAGGTCCCTATCCTGTAGCACCAGTCCCTGGGGGACCTATTCTCCATGCATTTCCCCTCCCCCAAAATCACAGGTTGTCTCATGGTCAGAGCTTGCTACCACCTTCCACAGCCTTGGACAGTTTTAGATAAGTTTCTCTCTGGATATTTCTCAGATGGCATTGGGAAGAACCTCGCAGCTATACTGTAACACCAGGTGGTGGTGGAGTACTGACCCCACTCCATCCAGAGATCTTCAGCCTTGGGCAGATCTACTCCCATGACACTATTTCTGGAGCCCATGGCTCCTGAGCCACTCCACAGCCACCCCAACTCTGTGTGGCCAGAAGTGCTGGGCTGGGCAACCATGGAGGCTCCACTTAGAAAGCCTGGGCCACTGACTTCCAGGTGCCCTGCAGGCAGGCTGGTTCTTGCCCTCCCCATGCTCTTGTCCATGTACGCACTCAGTCACAGATGCTCTCACTCACTCTCTGCTCTGTGTTTTGACTGCAAGTTGGGTACAGGTCTGTGAGCAAGTGGACCGAGCTGCCAGCTACTCTGTCACCATCTTGGATTTCCTCAAATAGGTTTTCAAGTTCTTGTTCTCTCTCTCTTCTTTCTGCAGTCCCATGATGTATATGTTAGTACACTTGAAGTTGTCCTAGGGGCTTCTTATACTGTTCTTATTTGAGGGGCTTTTTTTTTTTCTTTTTGCTGTTCTGACTGGGTGTTTTCCGCTTCCTTATCTGCCAAATTGCTGATTTGATCCTCTGCTTTGTCTAACTCTAGTCAATTCACTGTAATGTATTCTTCATTTCAGATATTGTAGTGTTCACTTCTTACTGGTTCTCTTTTAGGTTTTCTATCCCCATTTTTATGTTTCCTATCTCTTTGTTGAAGTTCTCACTGATATCTGCATGCATCCTTATAAGCAGTGTTTTGAACTCTGCATCTATGTCTGTCTCCATTTTGTTAAGATCTTTTTCTGGAGTTTTGTTCTGTTTTATTTGGGACATGTTTCTGTATCCTCATTTTGGCTGCCTTCCTGTGTTTGTTTCTGTGTATTAGATAGAGATCCTACATTCCCTGTCTTGGTAGAGTTGCCGTATATACTAAGTGTTCTATAGGGTCCAGTGGCTCGGACTCTGCTCAAGCTCGGCACTGCATCCGCCATGTGGGTTGTGTGTACCCTTCTGTTGTAGTTGAGCCTTGATTGCTATTAGTACATCAGTTTGAGGTATTCACCCCCAGGCCAGTCAGCTGCAAGGACTCGTCACAACCATTGTGGGGGACCTGCTATGCAGGGGCAAACCATACACAGCAAGGCTGGCATCCATGGGTCTCTGGTGCCTGCTGAATTTCCCCTTTTAGTGTGTCAGTTGTAGTGGTGGTTGGGTGATGCTTTGACATGTTCTGAAGCTATATTCATTAGGTGCCCTGACTGGGTGGTTTGGCTATAGCACAAAGTGAACTGCAGGTGAATGCTACTTGACCTGGGTTTGGAGGTGCCCAGGAGAGGCCAAGCTGCTAACCAAGGCCAGTTGCCACTAATACTGAGCCTAGGGCCCTGTGGGGGCCTATAGCAAAAGCTATAGGGCTTACTGAGGCCAGATGATGCTTGTTTTAGGAAAGTTTGCAACCTGAGCCAAGACAGGCTGTTTGTATGGAGAAGCCACTGGAAACAGATTGGGTGGGCCCACAAGGTGGGTGGGACCAGGGTCTCAGGCAATCTCTAGAGTAGGGCAAACAGTGTGAGCCAGATTGATGAAGACTCAAATATGGCACCCACCACCTGGCTCTCTGGGGAAGAGGGCTCAGCAAAGGAATGACGGACTCTGTTAACACTTCTGTCTGGGAGAAAGCTGTCCTTCCAGCCCTCATTGGACAATTCCATCCCTCCCCATATGTCCCTGGGGCCTTATTGAGCTGCTGTGAGTCAGTAGGTCCCTATGTGGGCCCCTTAAAAGGAATGCCTGGAATCCCTAGCCAGGTAGCTCAGTTGGTGAGAGTGTCATCCTGACACATCAGGGTTGAGGGTTTGATCTCCAATCAGGACACATACAAGAATCAACCAGTGAATGTACAAATAAGTAGAACAACAAATCTCTCTCTCTCTCTCTCTCTCTCTCTCTCCCCCTCCCTCTCTCACTGTCATACTCTCACCCCCACTTCCTTCTATTTGCTCTTCTATTTGCCTTCTATAAAGTAAATAAATAAATAAAATTTTTAAAAAGGAATGTCTGTGACTTCAGAAGCCCTCCATCTTACTCACCCACTGGCTTTCATAGGCATAAGTTAATAGGGACTTCTCTTCCTGGTACCAAAACACAGGTCTGGAGGCCTGGTTTGGGGCTCAGACTCCTCACTCCTCAAGGTACTCCTCCACACCCCAGATAATCTCTCCTGATTTTTAACTGCTCCATGTGGGTATGGGATCAGCCTATTCTATGTCTCTCCCCCTCATACCAGTCTGGACCTGGCTTCTTCTGTATATCTTCAGTTACAGGATTTTTGTTAGGCTGGACTTTAGGAAGTTCTGAATGATGGTTATTCCATAGAGCAATTGTCATTTTGATGTGGTTGTGGAAGGAGCTAAATATAGCATTTACCCAAACTACCATCTTGATCAGAAGCTGAATTGTGTACTTTAAATGGGTAAATTATATCATGTATGAATTATATGTTAATAAAGCTGTCTTTTTACATTTTAATTGTGGAAATTAATGGATTATGTTTGGCATTTTAGTTGAAGATTCTTTCTCCTTGGTAACTTAAACCTAACAATAGCAAAATGAATGTACCATTTTGCCATCCTTATAGTTGTAATTGATTTAGGCAAGAATTCATTACAAATGGTAAAACATTGGGGTGAAAGCTTGTTGTAAATCAGGATATTTACAGTCTCAAAATATATCCAAACAGATTATAAAGAGGAAAAAATGAAACAAATGTTAGTAGTTGACAGATCTAGGTGAAACAGGAGAGTTTATTAAATTTTTTGTAACTTTTCTGTAAGTTGGAATATTTTTTTAATCTATTGATTTTAGGTGAAGTGTCACCAATATTGGCCAGAACCCGCAGGAAGTTTATCCTATGGATGCTACCAAGTCACTTGCCACTCAGAGGAAGGAAACACTGCATGTATCTTCAGGAAGATGACACTATTTAACCAAGAGGTAGGAAGGCAAGACATCCATCTGTTTATTAGACTTGTTATGTTCAGGATGAAGGCTTTGAAAGCTGAAAATGTTTTTAGTCTGAGTTCTTGCTACTAGAAAATATTTTAAGTGACTGAACTATTTGCTTCATTGGGATGCTTTGGAATCTCATGAAGTATATTTCCTTTGTATAATAAATGCATTTCCAGTTTCTATAGTTAAATATGAGTGGTCAGTGCAAAGAGAATCTAGTAGATCAATACTATACTTTTAAAACTATGTATGCTCATAAAAATTACACCAGGGATGTTTTTGGTTAGAAAGATTTTTTTCTCCAAACAATATCAATAAAGTATTTTAGTACATCTGTGGAAATGGAAAGAGCAATTAATTGTAAGTTATCAAGTTATTTGATAACTGGGCAATACAATTAATTTTTCAGAATCCTGTAACTGTGTAAAATGAATTAAATAGCCCTCTTTAAAAGAGTAGAGAAGAGAAATTTCAGTCTCCTCAGTAGTAAGAGGGAAAGATCATAGGCAGAACCCTCCCATAGAAGATAGATTATAGTTTTCTAATTGCTAATCTGCTTAACTGCCACCTGAGTGGCTTCCAAATCCAGACCCAGAAATGGATGCTCATTAATGAATGATGGCTTAGTAACCCAGTAGGAAGATTTGTGTGGAGGGTCGCATGCTGTCAGTCATGTTAGTCTGCTAGAGACAGTGCACGCACTTTTATTGCCTTCAACTAGATACTCCCATGCCACTCAACCTGAGGTTTTGAAGGGGCTGTAAGAAGAAAGAAGCAATTGCTAGAGAAGTGCAAACAACACAAACTGTGAAGACTCAGGCCTATCCTATGGAATGTTTAATCCTTTGGAAATAAGAACTCCATTCTTCTCCCATCCACTTACCCCCTGAGTATGACCAAGACAGAGCCTTACCCAAAGGGAAGGAGCTAGGAGTTGTGCTAATTTATATTAAAGGAATCTGGCATTGAATAAAGCTAAACTTAGAAGAAATTAAAAATTAAATAGTTTCAAAATCTTATGGGCTAGAGATTCCATCAGAATGAATTTAGTGTTGAGAGACATGTACTGTATAGCTCATGGTCTAATGCAACAAGGCAAGCCAATAAGGTATTTCTTTGTTTTCTCAAGTAAGTATAACAGATAGGATGTATATGCTTACATAAAATATATTTATATCTTCAGCATAGTCTCTTTATTATACTCCACCTATAAATTATCCACAGCAGTTTTATATACTGTAGTGGCTTTTCTTTGCAAACCCTGAATACCTCAGAACTGTGCTAAGACACAAATTAGTTTCTAAAGTGAGACACAAATATAATTGGGAAAATTAATTTGCTATCATGTACACATAAATACATATGTACTTGGAAATACAGACAAATACTATATCAAAACTGATTAAAATATGATTATACATTACCCATATTCATAGGTTATTGATACCATTAAATTATTTTGATAGTCAAAATCAAAGGTGCCTTTGGTCAAAGGTGCCTATATTAGATGCCTTTAATTCATTTTATACAATTACAGAATTCTGAAAAATTAGTTATTAAATTATACTGAGGTATCTTTAGGAATTCTTCTTTTATTCATCCCTTTTAATTGTTTTGTTATTGTTGACATTATTACAGATGTTCCCATATTCCCCCAACTTCCCACCTAACCCTCACCCCCTTCCCTCTGGCCATCACGGTACTTATCTGTGTCTGTGTTATGCATATATGTTCTTTGGCTAATTGTAGGTCCATTTTTTAATTACCTCTTGCTTTCATGATCTTTTATGGAAATGTCCGGTAATATAAATGACAATAACCAGATTTCTTAGTGTTGAATGAGTATGGCTACTGATCATCGATCATAAGATTCCAAACAGCTGATTGGGAAATTTGTAAGTTCTCTCACAGAATCCTTTCTACACCTTTTGAGGTGTAGATGTTGTTTCATTTTCAGCTGAAGAAAGTGAGGCTCTGAAGTATTAAATACCTTCTCTGACAAGAGTTAAGATGTATAAATTCAAAATCTTTTCCTTATATCAACTTCTGGCTCCCCCCAAATAATTAAGGCCTGATTTGACTTTTGTGTTTTTATGATCTTCAGTTTTTAATCCACATTTATTTTGAGATTTTATTTTCCTGGTTTTCACAATTTCATTTGGTTTTTAAGATTAGCCCAACTTTGTTCATAAAAAATATTTTTTACTTTAACCATATTTGTTCATCCACCACTTGTTTAATTTTCTTTAAACTTGTTTTTGCGTTTACTTGATTATCATTTTAAAAAATACTTTACAAATATAGAAACGATCCAAGTAGTATATACCTGAAAGGATACGATTGTTTCTTTTCTGTTATTATTCTGTTACACAACTATTTCTATAAAACGGTTTCTTCCTTTTTAGTTGAATTTTCGGTTTTATTGAGTACATGCATTACTTTGGGGGAAGATAATGGGAGTAGTTTCTTTTCTTTCCTTCTAAAATTAAAATGGCATGAACATTTATTTGTATTTTAATAATTCCTAAATCAAGGTGCATAATTTTGCATTTACATGTAGAAAAATGAGAGTCGTCAACTCACTCAGATCCAGTACATAGCCTGGCCTGACCATGGGGTCCCTGATGATTCAAGTGACTTTCTGGACTTCGTTTGTCATATACGAAATAAGAGGGCTGGCAAGGAAGAGCCTATTGTTGTTCATTGCAGGTATTCTATTTTCTGTCTTTTATGATTGAATAGCTGACGTTTTTTAAAGGGAATATGTATTTTGTCCTTAAGCTGTGATTGCCAAAACTGTTTTAATTAGAGACAACTCAAAGCTATGCTCTGAAGGTAGAAGGCACAGGGTATGTTCCAGTATGATTGGCAGAAAGATTATCATAAGAAGTGAAAACAGTACTTTATTGCACTGATTGTTAGAAGTTTGTCTTTTTCATAGTTAATATATCTGCAGTTGGAATTTGTCTTACAATGGATAGTATTTTAGACTTGATGAAATACAATAATGTAGGCAGGAGCTGCAACCTAAGGTTTAGATTTCTACCTCCCAGCAAGGTACTCCTTCCTGGCCTGTGGTCCATCACAGGATAAGCTACTTTCAGGAGCTCCAGGTAAGTAATGATAAGCTACCCTTCCTTCCTTTCAGACTCATGCCCTCTTCTATTCTTACAGGGTCAGGTATAGTGACTCTAGCCTTCAGTGCTACCAACCAAGAGATTAGGAGACAAAGTATATTCTCCCTGTTCTGGCCACCTCTATTATTAAGTGATTATTCAAAGGATGTATTAAAGTATCTCTTTATGTTTAAACCTCCCAACAGTTATTAACAGCAGACTTTCAAATCATCAAAAACAGATTATAGACCAAATATTTGAAAGGCAAAATGGCAAGAATGGTGAACACATATGATTCAATACTTTAATTTTCTGCAAAAGTCCACAGAAGTTTGATGGAATAGTATCAGTGACACCTTGCCCCATATTTGTCTTCTTTAGTGCTGGGATTGGAAGAACTGGGGTTCTTATTACTATGGAAACAGCCATGTGTCTCATTGAATGCAATCAACCAGTTTATCCACTAGACATTGTCAGAACAATGAGAGATCAACGAGCCATGATGATCCAAACACCTGTAAGTACTGTACTTCATGTATACGTGTGTATTCTCAATATGATGATTCTTGTTGTCAATGTATATTTATAGCTTTTTAATATATGCAAGGAGCTAATAACCCCTAACACAGAGGTTTGTCAGCTTTTTAATATATGCAAGGAGCTAATAACCCCTAACACAGAGGTTTAGCCTGTGAGCTAAATCTGGCCTGTCACTTGTTTTTGTAAATAGTCTTATTGGAATATAGCCATGCTCATTTGTTTACATAATATTTATGGCTGCTTTCACACTATGTAGTCTTTTACAGAAAATGTTTGTCAACACCACTCTAGCATATTAATTCTTGAGTGCTTAAACAGTCACAGAAAGAACTTGCCCCGTATTACTTAGTCAAGTGGAACTCTGAGAATGATAGTATCCCTGAACTGAAGACTCTTGATAGACCTGCTTTCAGTGAAATAGCTGTAGTGAAATGCCTTTCTTTTTTACATAAGAACTTTAATTGTAACAACAACAAAAACCATAGAAATTAAGCTACTAACATTATATTTTACACTGACCCTGAATAATGCTCCAAGATCACCAGAGGAATCATGGAACGTTAAGATAACCTGTTATAGTAAGCCATTGTGAAATGTTAGCATTGTTGGTGTCATTACAGTTACTGAGGTGAATTGACCTCTATGACTTAATAAATACCTGTCTTTTTTTTTAGCTTTAAATTATGAAAAATTTCAAGCAAAAAAGTAGACAATATAATGAACACTATATTGAGTCCTCAGACCCACAGCATTTGCCATATTGTTTCATATGAATGAAATCATATAATTAATTTCATGTGATCTTTTGCCATTGGCTTTGTTCAATTAGCATAATATTTAAAGGTTTATCCATTCTGTGTCCTTTGTCAGTACTTCATTCATTCCTTTTTTTGGCATGAAGAATTTGGAATGAAGAATATTTCATTGCATGAATATACCACATTAAATTTTTTATACATTCATCATCTGTTGATAGACATTTGGATTGTTCCCTCTTTTTGTCTGTTATGAATAATGGTGCTATAAACATTCGTGTATGTTTTTGTGTCAACGTGTTTTCATTTCCCTTTTGTATATATCTAGAAGTTGAATTGCTGGGTCATATGGTAACTTTGTTTGTTTAAACTTTTGAGGAACTTTCAAACTGTTCCCCACCATTTGCAGTCCCATTGGTAGTATATGAGTGTTTCATTTTCCTCCACATATCATCAGCACTTCTGATTGTCTGTATTTTTTTATTTTAGCCATTTTACTGACTATAAAGTGATCATCTCATTGTGGTTTTGATTTGCATTTCCCTGATGATTAATGATACCATGAATATTCTTATGTGCTTATTGTCTATTTATTCATATATCTTCTTTGGCAAACTATCTGTTCAAATCTTATGCCCATTCTCAACTTTTTTTTTCTTTTTCATTTTGATGTTGAGTTGTAAGAGTTCTTTATATTTTCTGTTCCAGCCCGTGTGGCTCAGTTGGTTGGGGTGTCATCCCTTAGACCAAAGGGTCTCAGGTTCAAGTCTTAGTCAGGACCCCAGTTGCAGCTTTTTGATCTCAGTAAGGGTGCATATGAGAAGGCAACCAATCAATGTTCCTCATTCACATTAATGTTGTTCTCACTCTATCTCTCCTCCTCTCTCACCCTCCCCCAACCCCTTCTCTCTCTTTAAAAGCAATGAAAAAATGTTCTCAGTTGAGGATTTTTTTAAAAGAGTTCTTTATATTTTCAGAATACAAATCTCAAATGTTTTCTTCCATGCTATTTTTCACTTTCTTGATTATGTCATTTAAAGCACCAAGGTTTTTAATTTTGATACAAGGCAGTTTTTTTAATCACATACATGTTTAGTGTCATATTTAAGAAATCATTGCCTAACTAAGGGTCACAAAGATTTATTCTTCTTATTTTCTTCCAAGAGTTTTATAGCTTAGCTCTGACATATAGGTGTCTGATCCATTGCAAGTCAATTTTTGCATACGGATTGAAGTAGGATTCTAGGTTTTATTCTTTTGTATATGCATATTCGGTTGTCCTAGCCCCATTTTTTGAAAAGATTATTCTTTTCCCATTAGTTGTCTCTGGGTCCCTTGTCAAAAATCAGTTGCTACAGATATAAGGGTTTTGTGTTTTTTTTTGTGGGATTAATTTAATGGAAACTGACAAGCTTATTTTGATGTAAGTTTCACATATTTTACCACATAAGAATAAGGAACTTTTCTTATGTGGACAAATGATAACACAAGCAAATTTGAAAGAGAAGTGACAGACTGTAACATGCCTGACAGATATGAGATTAAAATTCAGAATATGCAGAGAATCCTACAAATAATATAAGAATAAAACAAATCACTGAATTGAAAAATGTACAAATAATATTAACAAAAAAATTAATAAAGATTAAACAATTTGAAAACATCTTCAACTTCAATGTTATCAATAAAATTCAAGTTGAATGAACAGGTGATAATTGAATGATGACATAATTGACAAATTTATAAATGATTGATCTCCTGAGGTAATAGCAAGGATGTGGGAATAAGAGCACTCAAGTACATTCCAACTTTCTTTTTTTTTTTTTATAAGAGTTTCTTTCTGGACTTTCAACCCCATTCCACTGATTCATATGTGTAATCTAATGCTAGTACCTCACTGTCTTGACTACTGTAGCTTTGTAATAAAACTAGAAATCAGGTTGTGAATATCCCAACTCCTTTTGTTTAAGACTGTTTTGGCCATTATAGGTCCCTTGCATTTCCAAATGAATTTTAGAATTAGTTTTATCTTTTCTGCAACCTCCCTCCCCACAAAAACCAGGAAAGAGATTACATTAAATCTGTAGCTCATCTTGGGGAGTGTTGCCATCTTAATGATTTTCCATCTTCCAAGTCATGAACACAAAATGTCTTTCCATTTTTAAATGTGTTTTAATTTAAATTTCTTTCAATTATGTTTTACAGTTTTCAGTGTGTAAGCCTTGCACTGCTGTTTAATTTATTCTTATGCATTTTAGTCTCCTTGGTGTTATTGTAAGTGAAATTGTTTTCTTTTTTCATTTTAGGGACTATTAATTGCTTGAGTATAGAAATAAAATTGACTTTGTATATTGGTCATGTATTCCGCAACCCTGCTAAAATCATTTATTAACTCTAATAGTTTGTTGTGTGTGAGTGGATTCTTTAGGATTCTCTATGTGCAAGATCATGTCATCTTCAAGTAGAGATAGTTTGCTTCTTTCTTCCTTTCCAATTAAGGTGCCTTTGTTTTCTACTTATCTTATTTTTTCTTTTTTTCCCCTTGTTTTAAACCTCTGGTACATATTAAATAAAGTGTTAAATAAGATATTTCTAACCTTAGAAAGACAGTTTTCAGTTTTTCATCACTAAGTGTCATGTTAGCCATGGGTTTTTTAGTAAATGCTCTTTCTCAAGCTGAGGAAGTTTCCTGGATTACAAGTCTGTTGAATGTTTTCATCTTGAAAAGGTACTCAGTTTTCTCAAGTGCTTTTTCTGTGTCTATTGAGAAGATCATGTGGCTTTTGCCTTTTATTCTATTAATATATTACATTGATTTTTTGGATATTAAACTAACCTTGAATTTCTGGGATAAATCTTGGAGATGAGGTATAATTCTTTTAATATGTTGCTTCATTTGATTTGCTAGCATTTTCTGCAGGTTTTTGTATCTATATTCATACATATTGAATTTTTTATTTATAATTATAGTAAAATACACAACACAAAACCTACCACCTTAACAGTTTTTAAGATTACCATTCAGTAGTGTTAAGTATAATCACACTGTTATGTAACAAGTCTCTAGAACTTTTTCATCTTGCAAAACTAAAATCTACCCCTTAGACAACAACACTTTATTTCCTTTTCCTCCCAGTCCCTGGCACCCACCATTGTACTTTCTGTTTTTATGAATTTGACTACTCTAGATATTTCATATAAGTGGAATTATACATCTTTTTGTGATTGGCTTATGTCACTTAGCATAATATTCTTGAGGTTCATCCATGTTCTAACATGTGTCAGAATTTCATTTAAGTCTAAAAAATACTTCACTGTGTATGTATAGACCATATTTTGTTTATCTTTGCATCTGTCAATGTATATTTCTATTATTTTCAGCTTTTGATTATTATGAATAATGCTGCTATGCACATGGATATATAAATACTTCTTTGAGAATCTGCTTTCTCAATTTTTTGTCTTGGATATATGTCCAGAAGTCAAATCACTGGATAATATCAGACATATAATGAGTTTTGGTTTTGTTTTTACATTGTATATAAAGTCACAATTGTCCCACATTTTGATTGGCTTATATGTCTCCTAAATCTTTTAATCTATTGCTTCCTCCTACATCTTTTTTCTTGTTACTTGCAATTTACTTGATGAACAAACCAGGTCGTTAGTGCTACATAATTGTCCACAGTCTGAATTTTACTTGACTGCATTCCCAAGGTGGTAGTCTCTATTTTCTAGAAGTGGTAAATTGGATCAGTAGGTCTGAGCAGCCTAAGTGTTTTTATGTTCTTTGTATAACCAGCACATGTCTGGTTGTCTTTTCATTGTGATATTAGCAGATTTGAGTGAGCAGTGTCTGCATCATTAATTCATTGGGCTTTTGAAATGATGATATTCTATCATTCTTTTATTTATTTACTAGCTAGAATACTTCTTTAAAGAGGAACTTTTCATCTGCTACTTGGTTAACCTGTGGTACAGCCTGTATGGAAAAGGCAAAAATAAACCTTTGAATAAACCCTTTACAAATAAAAAGTTTAAACCCAAAGTAAACCCTTTACAAATAAAGTTTACCTTTATTTGTAAAATTTTTAATATAATGAGTTGGTTTACTTAGCTCTCCCAGTGGTGACCACTTACCTCATTTGTCCTGGTATTATTTGGAAATCATGGATTTATACATGTGTGATAACTTTCAACCCATTGAAGTTATATTTCTTAATTCCTAAATTATCCCATTTTGGCCAGTGGGAGTCTATTCAGCTTGGTTCCTAGGCCTTCCTGTCAAGAACCTAGTAACTTAGCTTCCTTACTGTGAATAAAGATGACAAGGCTCCAGCTTTGATCAGTTTCCACCCCAAACTTAGAATCTGTAATTTCTCCAAAATATACTAGTTCTTTTTATTGACAAATTAGTTTAGGAAGCACCTCTGAGAACTAGGGTGTTTTGTTGCTCTGGGGTTAGTATTAGTATTTGTTTGTAAAAAAAAACTTTACTAGCCAGAGGTAGGAAAACAAAGTTATGGATTAATACTGGTGTTTCCAATATACAATCAGGACCATAGCGTTTTTACTTAATGTCTTCTACCTTACATCTTTATTGCCTTTCTTCTTTAACAAAACTGATGGTTCTTTATAATACCAGCAATGAAAGACTTAGAATGTCACAAGTGCTCATTTGTTTTATTTTATATTGCACAAAAACAATCTCAGAATAACTAAACTAACACTACTACCACCAACAGTATGGTTACTGAAAAAAATTTTGATTTTCTTCTTCAGTCCTTTTTGCTTTTTATATATATTCTACAAAAGATATACAAATTACTGTTTCAAAGTCCCTCAGAATAGCTTCTCTCTGTGTAGTTCTGCCATCAACTAGATACACACATTGATTTGTTCCATGTTATTTTAAATTTGTATATTTTTTAAAATTAATTATCTAATTATGGGATGTGCTTATATAGTTCCAAGTAAAATCTCTAAAACAAGGAGAAATATATTCCAGTGAAGTCTAGTCTCTATCCTTCTCTTGCCCCCTATTCTTCCTCTGTGTAGGAAATCATTTTTTAATGATTTATCCTTCCCTTGCTTTTTTAAAAACATGAAACAGGGTGAGCAAAAGTAGGTTTACAGCTCTTCATGTGGAAAATAATACAATAATTAATAAATAGTAATACACAAGTAAGCTCTGTGTTTCACATCCTCACAACTGCAAACCTACTTTTGCCTCACCCTGTATATTGAGACAGGTATTCCTACCCCCCCTTTCTTTTATGAAGATAACATATTATATGCAGTTTTCTCTACTTGCTTTTTTTTACTTAACAAAATATCCTGGAATTATTCTATAATAGTCTTTAGACTTCTCTTCCTCCTCCACTGCAGAGTATTCCACTGTGAGAACTCACTGCAGATTACTCACCTGATGGTGAGTTGGGTTGTTTTATTTTGTTATCATAAATAATTCTGCATTGAATAGCCTCACTTATGAGTATATGATTTCAACTCCTTTTTCCAGTTCATCTGTGGGTAGATTTCTAAAAGTGGGATTGCTGGGTCAATAGCTAAATTAATTAAATATTGTTAGATCCTGCCAAATTGCCATCCATGGGGATTGTGGCAGTGCTAAGGATGTTAACAATGCATGAGCGAGTTTTGCCAACAAATTAGTGTTGTCAGACTTTCACTTTTTTGCTAGTCTGTTCATGAAGAGTGGTATCTCTGTGCAGTTTTTTGCATTTCTTTTATAAGCAAGCCATGTGAGTTGTTTGTGAATTTTTTGTTTTCTGGTTTTTCTCATCAGTTCTATTTTTTGTATTTTATTTTTCAGAGTCAATACAGATTTGTATGTGAAGCTATTTTGAAAGTTTATGAAGAAGGATTTGTTAAACCGTTAACGACATCATCAAATAAATAAGAAAACAAAAGTTCTGGGATATGTGTTGAAAGACTGCTTTCTATTACATTCACTGTGCCATAATACTGCTTGTGGGAAATGGCATCTAAACAAAAAAATGAAGAACTAACAAAAACTGAAAACTTCAGCACTGTTGCACTTTATGTTTTAAAAAAGTCACTGTATCAAAACCTATAATTCACGTGTTTGAAGACTGTTTCATGCTTTGCTCAGAACATATAGTGAATAACTGACTACGTTCAGGGTAATTTATGAAGTTTTGTGGTGGTGCCATGCAGTCCGCTTCCGATAGAAAGCCACAGACGAGGCTTAGAATTCTCATCATCTCTGTTACACACCTGTATTTTGAAAGCAAAAAGAAGTAAACATCAGGAGTTAGCGCTGGTGTTTTCAGTGATTCATGTACTTACTCTACTGAACACCAGATTTTATTTTTTAAATTTTAGCAATATCATTTTAAATATTAGCCAATACACTGCCTATGGATGCAGCACATCTTTCCCTGTACTCCCTTGTTCATACCTGCTGTTCATAAGAAGAAAAGTGGAATTGCTTTTCCCAGGAAATGCTGCACATTGTCCATTTACCAGCATCTTAGAGAAAGTATAAATATGAATATATACATTTTCTTAAATTTAATAATGTAACTTATATTTACCATAAGGTTGGCTTATTCCAAATCATGTGGTCTCACATACTTGATGTAAAGGAATGCATGCGTTGTGTCTTAACCCCTTAAGTGCCTTCAGACGTCTGTATGTCTAACGAAAAGGCACTCATTTGACCCCACTAGGAAGTATGTAGGTATATTGTACATTTACATTTTTATGCATTTTGAATCTTTTCACATTTGAAAATAACTTCTTGTTTGAGAGTTATACAGTCAGAGGAAGATAAAGAAATTCTGTTTCTCACTCATTTCCTGTATTTTATCACATGAAGCAAACGTAATTTGTGTTCTACTGAGTGAGCACTTTGCTGCTATGGAATTGTTTAAATCTGCACATTCCTTTCCTGACGGACAAGGGTTACAGTTCAGCAGCTCAAGTTAAGAGATGTTTTATTCTTGAAATTTAATATTTATTTTATTCCTAACTTTAGAAATGGCATCTAATATGCACATTAAATTTAAACATATTGATACTCTAAGCTAAAGTTAGAGCAGTTAGTTGTGACATTTCTGTCACTAACTCTTAAGCAGTCATTTCGGTTCGTGTCATGTTTTGTTTACACTGGTCTGTTTGTTGGTCGGGATACTTTGAGCAAGGAATGGAATATTATTGACTTGTTTCTAAATGTAATCCCCCAGTAACTGAAGTGAGAGTTTTCTTGTCATTTTTGTGTATAATTAAATTCTCCAGTTTATATGTACTTATTAAGTTAAAGCATGTTAATTCATGGAGAATTTTGACTTTTCTGCCTGATAGGAGGAGGATCTCATTCCCTTTAAGGATGTATAGATTTTCCTTTTCAGGTTGTTTTTTTTGTTGTTGTTCTATTTTTTTAAGTCTAGAGAGAAAGAACTTTAAAATCACCCACTTTTAATGTAAGTGGCAATTTCTCACCTTTCAAAATGTTGTATTACACAATTATTTCATATGGATTATAGTCAAAATAGACTTTTACTAGTGGTTTCTGAATATTTCAGAATAGTGTTGATGAAAATTTAGAGTTGAATAATAGGTATTTTGGAATGCCATGTAGGGTGAGGGGGGAAATGTACATTTTAAAATCTACAGTATAATCTAAATGATGTTATTTCACATATTCAAGATCCATAATAATAAATTTTAAGAAGTTAATTCCTAAACATTAATAGCCAAGATACCAAATAAATTATTACATTAAAATATTTTAAGTTTTTTTTGAGAGGCAAGGAAACATAACCTTTATGTCAGAGAAATTCTCTTATCTATTTCTGAATTTCATAACCAAGACAGTATGAGTAAATAACTGTAGTTTTATTTGAACATTCCATTCTTTACCAACAGATAAATGTAATTTAGGCTGCTATATGACATGATGATAAGTTGAAAAGTGAAAAAGTAAAATCATTGGGGTCTACATAATGAACAACTGTTTTGGCAGTTTTTCACATGAGTTAAAAAGAAAATCTGTTCTGTGTGGATAGAATATGACAACCATAGTTTTTTAAAAATATGCAGTTGTATAGATATAAACAGATAAATGGCATACTAGCATGTTCTTTGGTTTAGGGCTTTGTTTACACTTCTGGGTTAACTCTAATAATTTTTTGGCAGCGAACACTGCTGCCTTTTTTTAATCATTAATGCCAGTCTTTAAATGACAATATATTAGAAGTTTAGGATTGTACTTAAATTTCTCATGTATCCATTTTTCATCTGGGAGTTACTCTTTGTCAGTATTTTTATGTAAAAAAAATCCTTTTGTAAAGGCATATAGGGATCTTAAATTTAAAATAAATTACCCTTTACAACCTCTTAAAATGAATATGCTAACTATACTTCCCTGTTCATGCAACAGATAAGACTTTATTCATTACACCTAAGAATTTTTTAACCTGTTTATCAACCTATATAATAATCTAGGGATAATCATATTTTTGGTACATGAACTAGTTCTAAATTTCATTCAGAGTGATAATTTCAATATCAGTGTAATATCGAGTGATAAAAATGCCAAATTTCTTGTATCTAAACCCCTCTCTCCCTCCCCTTCCCTTCTTTCTCTCTGTTTCAATGCTTACTGTTGCTAGCACAAGTGTAAGTAGATATTGGTGAATAGGCTTTTGTAAATGCTAAGAAATGATTGTGAAAACCTTTCTAATTTATGGTGGTTTTACTGTGTTTGTTTCAAATGTTTGAGCATCTGATTTAAGTCAGCACAGCGTACACAGGAGGAGGAATATTTTGAAATAGACTTTACATTCACAAGAAGAATTAGTAGTATTTGTTAAACCAGTGCATTCATTCAAAATAGAGGCAGAGTAACAGTGTAAGAAATAATTTTCTTTGTTTTGGCCTACTAGCACAAGTAGAGGGTAGGAAAAAGGTTGATCATTTTGATTAAGAGTAAAGAGAAAATTTATATATAAAAACTGGTTTCAAATATATAAAGATATGTTAAACCATTAAGACAGTTGCCTGGTGGTTTCCAGGACCAGTATTACACATAGAGACACTTTCCTGTGTTTACATATTTGTGCTTCACAAAAGCTAATGCTAACAGAAGTAAAGGATTGCTCTTTTAAGTATAGTTTTTTTATAATTTGTTGATGGACATAACCAGGTCTAATCAGGTATTTGGCCAAAATTCTCCTGTTTTTATTAGCAGCATTATAACTTTAGAGCTAAAAGGAACTTGAAAGATTTTTATCTAATCTCACTTTCTATTATCTTAGACAACATATATGTAATTATCATAAGTTTGCATGAATTTTAGTCTGTTTCAGCACAAGAATTACATTCAGGCAGTTCTTTCATTCAGTAACTATGATGACCTTAGAAGATGTCACTTAATTTAGAAAATGAGTAGACTTTTTAAAGTAATTCTAATTAGGACCTTGACTCAGTTTGCTAGCCATGCTTCCATGATAGATCATAAGCTTTTGGGAGGTATTTAAACTGATATACTTACAGTGTGAAAACATTCTAAAATGCAAATCAGAAGACTAATTTTCAAAAGGACTTAACATGAAACTAAGATTTAAAATACATGTCCACTTGGAATCAATTTATGTTCATAATGTGAACATGTAGTAGAATTACAGCATTACTTATTTTATCATTTTATCAGGAAGAGAGAAGGAGGAAACAATTTTTAACAATGTTCTATTTGACATCTGTGTTTTGAGTATTTAAAATACTCTGATGGTTGCCATGGCTGGTATAGCTCAGTGGATTGAGCGCGGGCTGTGAACCAAAAGGTCGCTGGTTCAACTCCCAGTCAGGGCACATGCCTGGGTTGCAGGCCAAGTCCCCCAGTGGGGGTCACATGAGAGGCAACCACACATTGATGTTTCTCTCCTTTTCTTTCTCGCTCCCTTCCTCTCTCTCTAAAAATAAATAAATATTTAAAAAATTAAAATAAATACTCTAATGGTAAGTTTGCCAAAGTAGGTTTGAATTCATAAAAATTATACCATAACAGTGTGGGATATGTTTACATCTCTTTTATTTTGTTACAATTAATGTGTAGTTCAGGTTAATTTGCATTTAAGTCACTTAGAATAAATGCATTATGGTAAAATTTGTTGTAATAAACATGTCTTAATAATATGACAAGACCAAGATAAATTATGCCACAGCCTGCTTTTCTGCCACATCAGCCAAGTAACTATATTAGCATTGCTTACTTCCCACATGTGCTGCAGCTACCCAACCACACGTTCTGCAAGCACTGTTTTGTGTGTTCTTTTCAAGTAAAATGGCTGTTATTGAAACTGACTGGATTAATTTCATCAAATATCAGAATTACTGATCTGCTGGTAAAGATTTATTGGTGCCTCAGTATGATCACAACACAACTTTAGCAACCACTTTTTAAAATTCTTTGAGAATCATATAGATACAAGTACATTTAAATAATAAAACCTTTTAGGGCTGTTAGTAGACAATTTTAGCAATTTTATAAAGCGCCTATGAAATTAATCTCTAAGTTGTATTTTTAGGTGTTCAATTTACTTTAGAATGTCTGCAGCAATTACCAACACACTTTTTTCTATTGTATACAGATACCATTCTTAGTAGCAATTACAATAAGCCTTTCAATGTTATCAAGAAAAAACATGCCCTATTTCAGTCTGAATTGAAACATTTAATTTTTATAATCTTGGTGAAGTTGTCATGGGCAGACACCAAATTGTTATTTGTTTCCTATCTAAATTTGTTGCTGTTTATTTCTGTTTTTCCATGGCAGTTTACTGTCAATTTCTAAAGTTTTATATTTATTCTTTTTATTTTAGTAATGCAAGCTAAATGAACAGCCAAAAATAGTATCTACCAGGGTGCAGTTCATAAACATTGACTAGATATGGTTCATTGTATAAATAAGTAAACTGATTTTTTTTAATTTACTAAGTGAAAGGTACTAGCAATATTGCAAGTTAAAGACTACAATTTTACGAGGAAGTCCTAATGTTTAACTTCCTGAAACCTTTTAAAATTTCAACCATAGAGTGAAAATGTTTTAAAGCCTGTATTGCTCATAAAAGTTTCAGTTAAACACTGTTGAATTTTCCTCTTGTGGTGTAAATGATATGGATAGTATTTTTCTATGGGCGAAGGATTGAAACTTTTACTTCATTGTTTAAAAAGGATAGAATAATATTGTATGTCTTTCATGCTGTAAAGAAAATGAATGTATCTTTTAAGTGTTCTTAGAATTGTGACTTCATTACAAGGATACTGTTGTTTTTTTTAAAAAAAAAGGCAGTGAGGGATGGAAAAGGAAAGGAAGAGGTATTTCACTTAACTATACAAAATGCAATTTTAGAAGAAAATGTAGTTTTGCTATAAATAAGAGCAGTCATTACTGAAGCATATTTCAAATATAATGTACATTCTTTTTCATTTTGTTTTTAGCTTTAGAATAGTAAATTTCAAGGAAATTTATGCATACTGTTTTTAAGTGTAATATAACTGAATTCTAGACTTCTCTAGAGTGTGGGAGGTTCTTTTTGTGTGAGGGTTAGTGTTCTGCTGAATGTGTTTACCATGAATGAAAGTTCTCAGGCTTTGTCACTATTGCAGCAACAATGAGGACATCATTGTGAGAGTATGACTTTGATGAAGCCAGAAAACTGTGCCTAAGATTTACCCCAGTAAATATGTGCAGAGGCCCCTGACAAGGAGTTTTGTCTTTTTAGTCTCAGTATCTTAGATAAGCCCAACTCTGCCCTGTAGCAGTGCTGTCTTATATGTTTAAGGGCTTATTAAGTCTACTGAAAACAAACAAAAAAACAGAAAGCCTACATTTTAAACCAACATCTTTAGGTATGATTTATTTGTTCAACAATTTCTTTGAAAAGTAGTAGTTATTTATAACTCATTAAATGACTCAATGGAGCCTTCATTATTTTGACACCTGCTTCCATCCCTCTAACTTGTAAAATATCATTAATTTTCATTTACAGTAGGGTCTTTGTGAAGTAAATACCCTGAATAACTAACTATAAGGTGATACCTTCCTTGTTAAGTTTTATTAACAGTTACTGAAAGATTTGGATCAGGCCTCCTTAGTCCTGGAAGTTTTCAAAATTTAGCAAGTAGTCTTTGTGATGACCTCCACTGCAGTGGCACATTGCCAAATGAGAATGATCACCACGAAGCCATCAAGAGGGCTCATCCCTGCTTACAATCTTAGACCTAAATAGGTACTGATTTGTGGTTTCCCCCAAATCCACTGCAGTCACAATTGAGCCCATTTTACCTTTTATTTAAAAGAAGCTTATTAGTTTTTACTTTTGAATTATACTGTTCTAGTTTATTTGCCTTTCTGGGCAAGAAAATTTCAACCCAGTTCTGATATTCCCTTACCTCTATCTTTTCCCACCCCTCAGTGAGTTGACAAGGTGTTTTCTGTAGAGTAGGCCAAATTTCAATGCTGAAATTGATTCCTTGGATTTCAAATAGTAGCACTTTATTTCATGCTTACTACTGACTTAATTTATACATTTAAAAAATATACTAGTATCTTGTAAATATGGAAAAATTTTAATCGATTAGTATGTAGAGCTCATTTGGACCCAATATAAATGCTTTACAGTGATCTTTTGATCATTTGATACTTAAAAGGTAACTTGTGTGATTTTAGCTTTGCCATTTTTCTGTAATTTATTTAGTACAATAAAGGCTACCCAGTTGACTGTATTGCTGGACTCAGTTCTCTCAGCTAGCTTCAACCAAGTTTGGTTTACTATAATCATTTCTGATTTGCATTGTTGTATATTACATAAATACTTGGAGATCCATTCATTTAGTTTTGTGTTGCACCTAGGGATTAAGTCAATACTGCACCACAAGTAAGTTGTAGGGGGCAAGGTCCTGACACTATAAGGACATATCAGGGGACAGGATTTAAGAAACTAAAAACAGTTTACATTAAGCTGTTTTTATTTTCTATCATTAGAATATATGTGCTTTAAAAAATTAAAACTGTCCAACCCAGTGTTCTACAGCATCAGGACATTGCATTTACAATTCATATTGTAATCTTTTCAAATAAGAAAAGCTAGTTTTTATTTTCTTCAGTGTAGGCTTGATTTTAGGACAAATAGTTTACTATATACTCATAAATGATATTCTAAGCAGTAGTTTTGAAAATAATTATTTCTATGTAGCGGGTGTTTTAATTTGGGTTTTTTTCCCTTGTATCAGGTGCTATATGTAAATATGAAGAGCAAAATGTCAGTTAAAAGTAGTTTGTTTCCTAAACAGTTTTACAATTCTGCCATTTCACATTTCATTGTACTGAACTCGTAGCAAATGGAAGTACCCCCTAATTTTTTTAAGTTAACTCTTCTTTCATTTTACAAAAATATGTTTTGATAGAATTTGTTCCCTAATTAAGAGGCAAAGAAGCTTAGGGTTTACTTAAAGTGTGTAAGCTTGGATTTGGTCAACACTGGATAATCTGAATGTCACTATTCATGTGTCACTTCCACCTACTGTATGCTTGGAAGACCTTGTGTATTTGAATATTGGTGAAAAATATAATTCCTATTATGTAAAAATATGAATACTAATAGCAAATAGGATTAAATGCTGATTTGCATTAAAACTGTTTTAGTGGTAAGAATGATTTATGTTAGGTAAAATGCTATGTCATACTTTGTTGGCCATATTAATTTGATTGAGAAATAGTTGTTCAGGTACAAACGTAAAAAAACTCAAGCTGTGACTTAAATTGTTCAATTGCTAAATAAAGATGTGCTTTAGTAATTTAAAGTATAGGAGTTTTAAAGATTATTTTATGGGAGTTTATTTGTTGGGCTTTTCTGTCAGTGGTTATATTCATTAATGGGTGATCAGAAGACTATAAGAATGCTAAGTACTACATTTATGTCTAGAATTTCTGGTTCACAGTGTGACTGTATTGGGTGAGGGGTGAGAATAAGGAAGGAATTAAAAGGAATTTAGAAGAATGCCTGGTGTTCTCCCAGTACCAGCTCCTACATTCTGGTATTCCTAATATAAGACCTTGTCGATCAAAATAAAGGAACTTTCTATTACTGAAGTCAGCTTGCTTCATATCTGTCCCAAGTGCAGTTAAGCTTGCCGTTTTTCATCAGAAAGAAAATAATTTCTTGGGGAAAATATTCATTACTTGTATATTGAAAATTCTATTAAAAAGACAAGTATAAAGATTTATAATTATGCCATGTCCTTCCTACAAGATTATAAAAATATAAACAGACCTTCAGTCATGATGGAAGCATAGGTAGACACACTGCACCTCCTCATTCAGCCAGAGAGAATTACAACTAAACTTCAAAACAACACTGAGAACTCAGAAAATCGAGCAGTATGGAAGTACAATAACTAAGGATTTAAAGAAGCCACATTCATCCAGATGGGCAGAGAGACAAAGAGATGCAGTGTGGCACGGAGGTGGTGGTGGTGGCAGAATGGGCAGTACCACATTCGGGTGTGGTGCACAAAAATTGGGAGGAATACCTTGTGAGCAAGTGATCCCAGCCCCAGGCCAGACCTCGTAGCCCATGGTTGCAGCCACCAAGAAGATAAACCCCATAACTTCTGACTTAAGGCAGCAGAAGAAACTGCTAGATTTTTCAGTAGACTGCTTAGAGGGTCCACACAGTCTTGGAATGTGTACAAACCCACCCACTTGTATTCAGTACCAAGGCAACAGCTCTAAGGATGCCAGTTACATGCCAGGAGAAAGTGAAGTGATGAAATGGGATGAGTGTTGAGTAAGCCTCCAGAAATCAGGCAGTGGCACTGTCCCTTCTCTGAGCTCTCCTCACACAGGCACAAGCAGTGAAGCAGGTTGCCCACCCTGGCAATTACCTAAGACTCCGCCCCACACAATATACAGCTACCTTTTTTACACTATACCACACTACTTAGGGAGTCAAAGCAGCAGTACCTAATACACAGAAACAAACACAAGGAGGCTTCCAAATTTGAGGAGACAGGTATGGCCCAAATGAAAACAGAACAAAACTCCAGAAAAAGAACTAAAACAAAACAGATAACCAATCTATTAGATGCAGAGTTCACAACACCGGTAATCAGGAGGCTCAATGAATTCACTGAGTATGGCAATAGCATAAAAAACACCCAGGAAGAAACGAAGGTTATGCTAATGAAAATAAAAGAAAAATCTACAGGGAAAAAACTCAAAGGGAGGAAGCCAGGATTCAAATCATTATTTGGAACACAAGGAAGAAATCAGCATTCAATGAGAACAGCAAGAAGAAACAAGAATTCCAAAAATAAGTATAAGAAGCCTCTGGCACATCTCCAGATATGCCAACATCCAAATCATAGGGATGCCAGTAGGAGGACAGGAAGAGCAAAAAGTTGAAAACTTATTTGAAAAAATAACATAAGGAAACTTCCATAATTTGATAAAGGAAATAGACATACAAGTCCAGTTAGCACAGAGAGTCTCAAACAAGTTGGACCCAAAGAGAATGACACTGTGACACATAAATGCCAAAGGTTAAAGATAAAGAGAATCTTAAAAGCAGCAAGAGAAAAGCATAGAGTAACCTACAAAGTTCCCATTAGACTGTCAGCTGATTTCTCAAAAGAAACTTTTCAGGCTAGAAGGGACTGGCAAGAAATATTCAAAGTGATGAAAAGTAAGGACCAACAACCTTGATTACTCTATCCAGCAAAACTATCATTTGGGATGGAAGGGCAGATAAAGTGCTTCCCAGACAAAGTAAAGCTAAGGGACTTCATTTTCACCAAGCCAGTATTTCATGAAATGTTAAAGGGACTTATTTAAGAGAAAGAAGATCAAAACCATGAACATTAAAATGGCAATAAATTCACAACTCTCAACAACTGAATCTAAAAAGAACAAACAAAACTAAGGAAACCAAAACAGGAACAGCATCATAGATACAGAGATCATTTGGATGGTTATCTGCTGGGAGGGGGGAGAGGGACAATGGGAGAAAAGGTGCAGGGATTAAGAAGCATAATTACTATGTACAAAATGGACAGGGGAAGGTTAAGGATAATATAGGAAATGGAGAAGCCAAAGAACTTACATGCATGACCCACAGACATGAACTAAGGGGGGGGGAGCATTGCTGAAAGGAAGGAGGGTACAGGTGTGGGTGGGGGCAAAGGGGGAGAAATTAGGACAACTAATAGCATATCAATAAAATATTTTTTAAAAAATATAAACAATATAAGGATGACCCAAGAGGAGTTCTAAAAGCTTCTTCCACATTCTCCACAACTAAGGATAGTCCCCCTCAAATCAATGGCAGCTTCTGCTAAATTTCTTGTATTCTTTTCTGGGGAAAAAATATGTGCATGCATTTGTGTGTACAAATACATTTTGTTAATGTCAAAAGATTGAATATATATTCTAAGCTTGCTTTGTCATCTTGGAAATATCTCTGTATCAGCATATTCATGTCTACCTCATTCTTTTTAATTATTGCTTATACTCCATCATATGGGTATGCCATAATTTAACTTCTTGGTGGACACTTAGCTCGTTTCTAGTTTATACTGTACAAACAATGCTCCAATGAGCATTCTTATGCAAATATTTTCATTAAATATCACAAGTAATGCATAGGATAAATTTCTAGCAGCGGAGTTGCTAAGTCAGGGCACCTACATTTTTATTTATTTTTTAATTTTTTTAAAGATTTTATTTATTTATCTTAAGTGGGGGAGGGAAGGAGAGAGGGAGAGAAATATCAATGTATGGTTGCCTCTCGTGTGTCCCCTGCTGGGAACTGGCCTGCAACCCAGGCATGTGTCCTGACTGGGAATCAAACCGCAATCCTTTGGTTCGCAGGCCTGCGCTCAATCCACTGAGCTACACCAACCAGGACCATTTTTAAATTTTAGTAAACATTGTCTAATCTCTCTGAGAGAAGATTATACCAGTTTATACTTCCAAACAAAGCATATGAGAATGTTTCCTCACATTATTATTAGAACTGCTATCGAATTTAATTGTTTGCTCATCTCATAAATGAAATATTTTATTTGTGTATATTTCTTATGTTGGGTTAAATAGATTTTTATTTTTATTAACCCTATGTATTTTTGTATTTCTAAGTTTCTTATTGCTATCCTTTTTTCTATCAAGTTGTTTAGTCTTTTATTCATTATGAGATGTTAGAAATTGAAGAAATTAGTCATCTGACAGTCATATGTTGCAAAACCTGTTTCTTATGGTGTTATGTTTGACTATTCTTTTTGAGGGCTGGAGTAGTATGATCACATTTTTAGTACTTTTATACACAAATGTATCAACCTTTTTAATGACTTTTGCTTTTGGGGTATACCTGCAAAAGCTTTTTTAAATTTCTGTTAACATTCTATCTGTTCCTAAAGCTTTTCTAACCACCATCAGAATGACCTTCTCAGAACACTAATGCTCTTGTGCCCTCCCTTTGCCATCATCGACGGCTCTCAGTTATGCTTGGAGCTCTTCTAGTTTAAGCAAATAAGTTGTTTATTTGCTAACCTGCACATACATATGTGTTGACCTTCATTATATCAAATTAATTACATATCACATAAAACAATAAAATGTGTGAAAAGGGTAAGGTGTTTGCAAAGACTTATAAGATATCATTTAAACTTTATTTTTTAGCCCTGGCTAGTGTAGCTCAGTGAATTGAGTGTGGGCTGCAAACCAAAGGGTTGCTGGTTCAATTCCCAGTCAGGGCACATGCCTGGGTTGTGGGCCAGGTCCCCAGTGGGTGCCACTTGAGAGTCAACCAAACACTGATATTTCTCTCTGTCTCCTTCTCCCTCCCTCCCCCTCTCTCTAAAAATAAATAAAAATTTAAGAAAATTGTTATTCTTTAAATTTCTATTTTAAAAATAGTGAAAGCTAGGCAATTATGATAGACTAATTAAGAAAGAATAGGTGATATACGTGAGAGACTAGCGCACAAAGATAGATGACTCACTGACTGTGGTTTTTGGCACAAGGACTAAGGAGTTATAATCAGTCTTGAATTCAAAGTAAAAAGGTTTGGTCTTACATAAAAAGACACAAATAAAACATCTTTTTCTTTAAAGATTTTATTTATTTATTTTTAGAGAGGGGGAGGGAGGGAGAAAGAGTGGGAAAGATAAACATCAGTGTGTGGTTGCTTCTTGAGCACCTCCCTTCTTGAGATCTGCCCAGAAACTCAGAAATGTGTCCTGACTGGGAATTGAACTGGTGACCCTTTGGTTTACAGTCTGGTACTCCATCCACTGAGCCACATTAGCCAGGGCACAAATGAAATATCTTAAGCTAACACAAAATATATGAATTTTTTTATTTCTCCTTTAAATGTTTTTTATTTAATCAACCAACTATTACTTTTCCCATCAGATATGTAGGATATTTAGATATGTTAAATACTTAGTTTTTAAACATTGGTAAAATGTTTTTAAACATTAAAATGATGATACAGTTAGGCTTTTATGTGTTCCCTTTTAAAGCATGCTTGTACATATGGGTAAACCATATGTAAAATTTCAAACATTGTATTATAAAAATGTTCACATGTAAGGAAAGAAATATATTCCCAAGAGTCTGCAATTAAGACTCAGCTGTATTTGCTTTATCACATACATGTTCATCTACCAAGCTTTTTTTCATCCATCAATCCATCCTTTGTACACATTTCATAAAACGATGTTAACATCTGAACGCTTCATTCCTGAGCATGCAAATCATTAACTGGTATTCACTAACTGAATTGTCTTTCTTAATAAGAAATTTTTATCAGTAAAACAAGTAAATATTAAACCTACCATTTTTTATGTTTTAAATATGTTTAAATAAATATATGCAAACATTTAAAAATTGTAATATTTAATATATATTTAAATATATTTATGAGGTCTGTTCAGAAAATGTCCAACAATTGTTAATATAACAATGATTTGAGTGACATTGATGTAACCTGGCAGCCAAGGAGAGCGGACTGGAATGCACATGTGTGAACAATGATGACTTCACTGTACTAGACAGTTGGGGCAGTAGATGCCATTGAGTAAGCATGTGTA